GACATGAGTTTGGGTAAACTCCAGGAGTTGGTGATGGACAGGGAGGCCTGGTGTGCTGCAGTCCATAGGCTAACAAATAGTCAGACATGACTGAGCAACTGAACTGAACTCAACTGAACTGAACCACCTGGAAAGCTCTTGGACTCAGAAACGCGTATAATTTGCTTCAACTATTAATCTTGTTTTTCTTTTGTCTCCATAGAGATACGTCTTATTAAATACCTGGTTTCTAGTGCCACTTGGGCCTAACTTTCAGAGCCCGTCTCCATCACCACCTCCTGAAATGAATTTAACTGGACTGACCTGTTGTCAGGAATAAGAGACCAGTTCAATGGGATGGAATAAGTTATCAACTCAGCTTCTGGACTGTAAGCCTTTTGGAGCAGTTTCTAAAGTCCAGGTGGGACTGTAAGCAGTGCAATTTGCCACCCCAAAATGTGTCTCTTTGGCAAGAGGATTAATCTAGGTGGGTTATTTTTAAGAATCAGAAATTTCCAGAAAGTTTTCTTGCTATCTCTCCCTTGTCTTGTCTAAAAAAATTAGATAATGGGTCTGTTCCCACAATAGAGTGATCACCAGAGATATCTGCAGAGAATATGGCTGGGTGTGGTAGGGGAACAAAGTCAACCCATTAGTTCATTCTTTGCTCCATGGTGATCTGCCTGGCCCAGCAAACATTTGTTTACCAAACATCTGCATTCTCGTCTCCAGGTAAATTGCCTTCTTCACCTCTGAAGTACCAAACCACTACCCCCCAAATCCTCTTCTGTCTTTAGGTGAAGATTATTTTTAAGGTGAGGATTTCAGCTGTTTGGGTGAGTTACAAATTTTTCTAGGTCTTTCCCATGTATACATATTATCAAACTTTGTTTAACTTTCTCCTGTCAATCTTTCTCATGTAAATTTAATTCTTAGACCAGCCAGAAGAACCTAAAAGCCAGAAGCAAATGTCTTCCTCTTGAACTAGATATAGATATATCTAGATATAGTTATATCCTGTTACTCAGAAATGGTCGGGCTGTTTTAACACATTCAACAAACTCCTGAAGATGTGAGTCTGTATCTGATTCATCTGTGTGATCTCTCCAGCCTGAAGAAAGTGCATAGGAGTTGCTTCCTTTTCTTTTCCATACATGGCAGCATATATGCCCACTCTGCATTATAATGTTTCTTTTTTTTAAGAAAAAAATAATTTTATTATTTTAACTGGAGGCTAATTATTTCATAGTACTGTAGTGTGTTTTGCATACATTGGCATGAATCAGCCCTGGGTGTACATGTGTCCCCCATTTTAATTTTTTTTTTTTATTGTTGGATCCACTGAATCTTCACTGCTGTGTGTGGGCCTTCTCTAGCTGTGGGGAGCAGGGTCTGTGCTTCACCGTGGTGCGCAGGCTTACTGTTGCAATGGCTTCCTTTGTTGCAGAGCGCAGGCTCCGGGGCACATGGGCTCAGTTGCTGCTGCACATGGGCTTAGTTGCTCCGTGGCTATGGAGTCCTCCCGACCAGGGGTGAAACCCCTGTTCCCTGTATCGGCAGGTAGATTCCTATCCACTGTCCCACCAGAAAATTCCTGGTTTGTATTTTTAGATAATAGCATTACTTATAGTGAATTCCATATCAGTACCTAAAACATTTTCTTATCCATTTGGCTGATGGTATAATATTCTATGTATTTTTTCAACCGATTTCCTCTAGATGATATTTAGGTTTTTCGCTATAGTTCACCATTCTATTATACATGTGATCATGAATAGCATTTTGTTTTCTTTATTTATTGATAGCAAACTGCAGGTGAGTACTTAGAATGATTTTGGCACAATGTTGCTTGACACACATTATCTTATTCAATTCTCAAGCTAACTCTATGGGGGCTGATTTTCTTTTTTTTAATTACTTCTTCAGAGATGATAAAAGTAAGAGGTTGACTAACTGCCTAAAGTGATTAAGCGGAAAGTTCAGAATCAAATTGCTGTCTGTTGTCTCCAAATCACTTATAACAGAAAATAATTACTTGTTTATTTGACATCCTGTTTGTATACAACCTACTAGGGAGATCACATAGATGAATCAGACACAGGCCCTCAACCTGAAGTGCTTATTGTCTATAAGTGTTAAGAATAGCCTGACCATTTCTGAGTAATAGTAAATCAATTAATTATAGCTGATTTCAATACAAGTGGTTGGTCAGTAGCAAAGATATTCTGTGTACATCGAAATTACAGTTTAAAATCATAATCTCAAGGTCAAGTTTTGTAATTTAACTAAAGAGTACCACATTCACAAAGAAGTAATTTCAACATTTAATCAAGACTCCCAATCATAAAGTATAAGATTGAGAGCTAAATTTCCAAGATGAACTTTAATGGTTCAAGATGAACAAAAGTGTTTCCAAGATGAACTACTTTCTAGGGATGACTAGGAAACAGCTCTAAATCATTAATTAACTCTACAAATAAATCTTTCAAAGTAGAAGTTTAAACAAATATTAAGAAAATAAATGGCTTGGAAAAATTCTTAACATGGCCTGTCTGTTTCCAGGACAGAAATCAAGCTTCATTTGATTATTGAAATTTGTAAATTTCCATTTTATTACTTTACACTGCCAATTTCCTCCAGGAACAAGATTAGAAATATCAAAGATGACATGTCACAGACATTCCTTCCAAATGTTGGGGTTTGTGTGGGGATGAAAAGTGTTGTGAAGAAACATGCTTTCAAATTTCTAGCCCAGTTTAGAATGCTATTTTTAGATAAAAACAGTGATAGTAAGAACAAAAATCATAGTTTGTAGAGAGAAATTTACATCTGAAATGTAGTTTTAACAATTAGATTACTCTTCTCACTCTAGTTCAGTAACTGCCCTTGCTACAGAATTTAGTCCTAAGACTTCAATGCTTGGCTGTCATATTTCTTATCTAATGGTTTCTGTAATTTGCCTATAAGCAATTTTAAAAGTATTATAAAATTAGAACATAAGAAAATTTTTAATTTGGGCCTTTGAATTTGTAGTTGAAACAATAGATATGAGTATCAAAATGCAGATTATTTGACTCCAGTCCTGAATTTTAAGACCAAGTGTCACGAAACATATTTTTATAATTTTTGTGCACTTGAGTTTTTGAGCGTAACTGAGCAGGAAACTAAAGGGCCGTCGTAGGGCAGACCACTTTCCCCAAGTCCTCTTCCTGCCTCTCGTTTGTAGAAAAGGTGTCGTCTCCCAGGCATCCTTTGAGTCAAAAAAGCCTGACTTACGAATTCAGGAATTGAAAGGATGTGAACACGTAGTGACAAAAGTAGCAATTGGGCCAGGAGAACTAGCGACAATTTAAATAGTAAATCAGCCATATGGCAGTCACAGAATCTTTAGTTCCTCCCTGAAGTACCTAGATAACAATATCTGATACACAGATGCTGTTCTGCAGATGCTAAAGCCTCCAGCAAATGGAAGAAGTTAACTACTTGAAGACCTTGAGTGTGTAGCCTGAGGATTGACAATGTTAACCCCTGTGACCCTGTCTTATTACCTCACCATCAACTAAGCAGAGGATTGTTCATGGGCTGATCACACATCCTGAGCCTCCCCTCCTTCCCCCGGCCTTAAAAATGTATTCCTTGAAATCCATCAGGGATTTTGAACTTAAACCATCCTATTCTCCTTGCACGGCCCTTGCAATAAATCCTTCTCTGCTCCAAACTCTAACAGCTTGGTTTGTTTGGCCTCACTGAGCATCAGGCACATGAACTTGGGTTCAATGATAGAGCCACAGCTCTGAAAGCAAGGAAGGGATTACCTGTCTTCCTCATGCATTTAGAGGCAAGTCAGTGAGTAGAAAGTGCACTAACTTAAGGGACTGGAGAAGGATGCCCTATACCTGAATCTCTGACTTCTAGCAGACTGGCCATGAACACCTATAACGCCCATAGTCCTCCTGTTCCTCTTGGTGATAGTGGGGTTAAAATAACATACATGCAGGCCCTTTCTCTCCTGCCATAAAAAATGTATGATAGTCATAGTGTTAATAGTGTTAATCATCTCAGAATAGGTTAAAGAATAGGGTATTTTAAAAAATATATGCATTTTTATTTCCAACAGACAAGAATAAAAAACAAAAAAAAATTTATTAACTTTTGTAAATTTATGACACTACTAAATACAAATTTTCTCCTAATTATTCTTCATCTTAATTTAATAGCTGTCATTTGTGTTACTTTTTCACATGGAAACAAAAAATACATTTGTTTCCCCTGATTAAAAATTTCACAAGTTGTGACACATTTCAAAACATAAAGTATTATCTACTTTATGGTACAATTAATTTCCACAAAGTTTGTGAAAATCCATTTTGCTCTTGGTGAAGCTTGTTTGCCTTGGGGATTATAATGTCTTTTGCTTTTTATTTAGAAAAGAAGCATGACTTGTTTTGATCTGTGTGACTAATATGATCACAACCCTTGGGAAAATGGATGGTTTTCTGGAAACATCAGTAAGGAAATACTGACTGGAACTATTCCCGTCTGATTCATGAACTGCTCTGCACACCAAGGCCACACACTGTCAGGATGAACAAATACTAAGGTATTTGCTAGTTGCTCAAACTGCTCAAGTCATTGATGAGTCAGTGAACTTTCTGCCAGTTGCACAAGCTTCTCACCATTTCAAAGCCTCAGGAACCATGTAGAAAAAGAAAAAAGAGGGTCAGGAAAAGGAGGCATGGTCAAGGATGAGTGGTGTACTTGATATCAATATGATCGAAAATAGGGGAGCTTCCACTAACAGTAAATGGGTGAAAGGGAAAATAGAAAGGAAAGTCTAAAACTGCCAAGAAATGAAAGAAATGCTATGTATTTCTATAACTGGAGAGAGAGGGTGAGAAAGAGGAAGGAGGGAGAAGAAAAAGAGGAAGAGAGGAGAAGGAGGAGGAAGAAGGGGGAGCAGGAGGAGAAGAGTAAGAGGAGCAGAGGGCTGAGGGGAAGAGGGGGAGAGGAAGAAGAGGTGCAGGAGGGAAGGGGTGAGACAGGAGGAGAGGAAGGGGCGGAGGGGAGGGGGAAACCAAATGTAGCGGCAAGTTCACTTCAAGGGTGGAAAGGCTGGATGGCTTTGTGGTGAAGCATGAAGTCTTCAGAGACAGGCTGCCTCTGTTGGAATCACAGTTCTGCATCTCTAGCTGTGTGACCCTGGGCAGGTGACTTAGCCTGTCTGTGTTTCACATCTGTAAAATGGGAATAGTGCTAAACAGTGCTTAAAGGTTAATTTTATCACTCAATATAATAAAGTGCTCAAATGTTAACTTTATCAACATTAAAATGGATTTTATAGTTAATATTCAAAGTTATCCCATGAATAGTATATAGACATTTGGCAAATAAATATTGATTTAGTTATTATTATTTTTAATTTGAAGTCTCAGGCCCTTCTAAGTTTTGCTCTGAAAGTTAATCTACTACAAAATTTGAAAATAAATTTTATTCTGACTTTTTAACATAGCCCAAATAGAAAGACATTTTTCCCCTTATTAATCTGCTGTATTTTCACTCAATTATGTAGCTGTTTCAATATAATTACTCTCAACATTATTCTAAGTTTGCATAAGTAAAAAATAAAAGACATGTTTTTAAAAATGTTAAAAACATATTTGCTGATGGGGTCATTGATTTTATTATTCTATTTAGTTTATCTTTTTAAGGCCAAAATCGTAATTCAAAGGCCTCTGGGTGGATATATGACATTTAAAAAGTAGCTAATTAAATGAATCAATGTGAGATACGCATACTCATATAAGACAGTATTGAGAATCCTACCTTATATTTTTATGGCTGAAATATTTCATTACATGATCCTTACAGGAAAATCTTAATGGACCCCAGAGAGGGACATTCACATTGCTGCTGGGTTATGTAGATGTGCCGTGCAATTTACGAGGGAAACAGGGACGCTCGAGCTTGCTGCCATTTGCCTGCTTTGTTGTTCTGGCCACAGTTCTGGGAGCCCTGTGGTAACTGCTCATGTATGTCCCGGTAGTATTGAATGGCTATGAGCTGAATTCACCAGTATTAAGGGAAAAGACTGACAGAAATTCAAAACAAGAGCTATTTGGCATTAAGAGAATACCAAAGGAGCATTGGCATGGTAGCTACTATTCCTTTCCAAGGACATAATCGGAAGATAGTTGGACAACCCACGCCACCCACAGTCCCCAGGTGGCTAACAAATAAGCGGATCACTGTTAGATAGAAGAGTTCCATGATATTTGAAACAAACTGTCCATGGCTATTTTTCAGGTTTAAAAACCACTAGGAATTCATTCTCTGAACTGTAAAAAATAGCCTTAGTTACTTTCAAAGGAAGAAAGTAACCTAATGTGAGGTGAGGGTAAACTAATTTGTATTCCTGCTGCTGCAGTTTTTCTCTTACTCCTGGCAAAACAAAAGATTTATTTTTAAATTTAGAATGCCTGTATTCAATCTTGCATAAGTTATATAATTTGATTAATATAGCTTTAAACTTAACAGAATTGTGGGTCCAGTAACTGATAGAAATTTGTTGCACTTTTGCTAAATTTAATATACTCAATTGGTTTACACATGTAACAGAAATCATGGTTCAACAGGCATGACTGGTTTTGATACAACAGAATTAACAGAATGAATTATATTTTTATTTTAAAACCATCTAGACATAATTATATGGACAAACAATGATTTGAGTAATCTACAATGGCTAAATGTATGATAGATTAAAAATTAAAAGGTCTGTGGTATTAGCCAACAAATGTTTTTACACAGATGTAAAAGCTGCCCTTCTTACAGTTTATAATTCAATTATTTTTTAAAGAACAGCTTTATTGCAGCATGAATCATATCAGTAGTTCATTCCTTTTTATCACCAAATCATGCCTTATTCACAAAAAGATTGTCATGTGTGTAAAGACCACATTGTGTTTATTCATTTATCAGTTGATGGACATTTGGGTTATTTCCACCATTTGGCTTTTATGGATAGTGCTGCTATGAACATGATGCATGTTTCTATGTGGCATGTGTTTCTGTTTTCCCAGCCTATACCTGAGTGGGTCTTGCTGGATTTTTTGGATATTTTATATTTAACATTTTGAGGAGCTTGTAAAGTATATTTCAGAGTGGCCTATTTTACATTTCCACCAGCACCTCAGGAGAGTTCCATTTTTCCATATTCTTGTTAACACTTATTATTGTCCTTTTAATTTAATGATTTCAGGGTATGGGATGATATCTTGTGATTTTGATTTATGTTTCCTTTGTAACTAATAATGCTAAGCATCTTTTTGTGTACTTCTTAGACATTTGTGTATCTTTTTTTGTAAATGCTTATTTACTTAGTCAATTTTTAAATTGGCTTACTTGTATTTTTTAATTGATTTTTAAAAATTGTTTTTAGGTTCATAGCAAAATTAAGGGTAAACACAGAGATATGCTATGTGTTTATCCCCTGCCCTGGCGCATGCATCTCTTCCCCATTATCAACATCTCCCATCAGAGTGGTACGTTTATTAAAACTGATGAAACTACACTGACTCATCATAGTCACTCAAAGTCCATAGTTTATATTACATTTCACTCTTGGTTTTATATATTCTGTGGGTTTGATAATAATGACATCTGTTCATCATTGTGGCATCATATAGAATATTTTCACTACTTGGAAAATTGCCTGTGCTACCCCTATTCATCTCCTCCACGCCTACAACCCAACCTCTGATAACTACTTATCTTTTTGCTGTCTCCATAGTTTCGCCTTTTCCAGAATGTCATATAATTAGAATCACATCATACGTAGCCTTTTCAGATTGGCTTCTTTCACTTAGTAGTGTGCATTTAAGGTTGTCCCATGTCTTTTCATGGCATGATAGCTCTTTTCTTAGCACTGGATAATATTCTATTGTCTGGATGTAACACAGTAATTTATTCATTCACCTACTGAAGGACGTCTTGTTCAGTTGCTCAGTCGTGTCTGACTCTCTGTGTTTCCATGGACTGCAGCACTCCAAGCCTCTCTGTCCCTCACCATTTCTCAGAACATCTTAGTTGCTTCCAAGTTTTGGCAATTATGAATAAAGCTGTTATAAACACCTGTCTGTAGGTTTTTTAAATGTTTATTTATTTTTAATTGATTAATTATTGTTTTACAATATTGATTTGATGTCTGTCACACTTCAGCATGAATTAACCATAGGTGTACATATGTCCCCTCCCTTTTAAATTTCCCTCCCACCTTCTGTCCATCCCCACCCCTCTAGGTTATTGCAGAGTCCCAATTTGAATTCCCTGAGTCATAGAGCAAATTCCCACTGACTATCTGTTTACATATGTTAGTGTATATGAATCCATGCTACTCTCCCCATTCATCTCACCCTCTCCCTCTTCTCTGCCACCCTTGTCCATAAGTTTGTTCTCTATGTCTGCATCTCCACTGCTGCTCTGTGAATAGGTTCATTTGCACCATCCTTCTAGATCCCATATATGTGTGTTATATGTGTTAATATTGATATTTGTTTTTCTCTTTCTGACTTGCTTCAATCTCTATAATAGGCTCTAAGTTCATCCACTTCATTAGAATTGACTCAAATGTGTTGCTTTTTATGGATGAGTAGTATTCCATTGTATAAATGTACCACAGATTCTTTATCCATTCATCTGTCAGTGGACATCTAAATTGTTTCCATG